AAATAGTGTGCTGTTTATTTTCCTGATTTCCTCCATTCTTTCTTGTTTTACCTCTTTTCTTTTCTTAGGCTGCGCTGGTATTTTGATATCTGTATCTTTGTAACTTCCGTGTTTTTTTTTTTTTTTTTTTTATTTTTTTTGTGTTGATCTCTCCTCTTTATCTCTCTCTCCTTCTCATCCCTCTCTCTTTCCTTCTCATCTCTCTCTCTCTGTCTGTTTGTCTCTTCTCTCTCTCTCTGTCTGTTTGTCTCTCTCTATCTCTCTCTCTCTCTCTCTCTTCTTCCTCTTCTCTCTCTCTCTCGCTTTCTCTATTAATTTGATTTCCAATTCTTAAAAATCTTAACTTATTTTTTTGTTTATTCTTTCTTTTTTCCTTATTATTATTATTATTTGTATATGTCTTTAGTTCTGTTACTGATCATATGTGTGCTTGTTTCCAATAATTTCATCAATATTTGGCAACATTTATGCATGCACACATTTACACACACACATATGTATGTATGTACGTATGTATATATGTACACACACATAATGTATGTACGTACGTATTCATGTATGTGTTTATGTATGTATGTATGTGTGTGTGTGTATGCATATACATATTCTACACGTAAGCCACACATAGCATTTTCATTATTTCATTTATAGGCTTCATTTTCATTTCAAGAAATCATATCTTCCGGGCAATTTCTTTATTTTATTGTCATAATAAAAGAAAAAAAATCTTCATTACATTCTTGACATGCAAATAAATTATATTCACACTTTTATATTTAACTCAACAAACAGGGACGAAAAGGATAGGCAAAATTCTCACGTATAAAAATATAGCTATAATTCAGTAATATAAGACCATATCTGAAAGTTTAATATTACAATCAATCCATCGACAAAGATGGACTATGGAAATAATTAAAGGAAAAAAAATATGTGAAAAAAAAACATTGCGTTGTAAATAAGGATCATCTCAACATATAACAACAACTTAACATAGATCTTAAGGCACGATGAACTGTATATCACTGTCTTGCTCCGCCGCAGCCCAAGAGGGTGACGAAAGACGAAATAGACACACGATGGGTGGGGGGTGGCAGGGGAGGGGGGATCACACTGCTGATGGTGCTTGTCCGAGTTCCTTCACTCTCTCCTTCCTTCTCTTTCTCCTTCCTTCGCCTTCTCCTTGTCCTTTCGGCTGCTCCTTGACTTCGGTCTTGATGCTCTCTCTCTCTCTCTCTCTCTCTCACACACACACACATCCACCTTCGTGGTCACGGCTGGAAAAGCTCTGGAAGAAGGGGGTGGGGAGGGGTACGGAGAGGTGCAGGGGAGGGGGTTGTGGGGGGGAAGTGAGAATCTTCCCCCCATCATGCGGCTATCCTCTCAAAGGGTCACTTTCTCTTGCTATAGTCACGGAGAATGGACCTTATGTAACGGAGCCGCTGAAGTCTCTCTCTCGTTCCCCCTCTCCTCCCTCCCCCTCTGCCCCTCACCCTTTCGTCTTCGTCGCGTTGTTGCTGCTGCGGTCTTCGCTACAGGAGGGGGTGGGGGTCGGCCGGGGAGGGAGGGCCGATGATGACGTCACCATCGTGTCTGCTGGGACCTCTGCTGTTCTACAAGAGGGAGAGGCTGCGGGAATCTCTTCTCCCTGGGTCCTTTTGCGTTCACCAGGCTTCTCTCACGCGCGCGCACGCACTCACGCCACCTCTCTCTCTCTCTCTCTCTCTCTCTCTCTCTCTCTCTCTCTCTCTCTCTCTCTCTCTCTCTCTCTCTCTCTCTCTCTCTCTCTCTCTCTCTCTTCGAAGTCCAGTTAGTAACTGAGAAACATGAACTGGCGAAGAAGGAGGTCCTAAGACGCAAGTGTACCTCGGCTCTGACGTACAACAGCTGTGACAGGTGCTTGTTGCTACAGCTGGGAGATTTTTTTTTCGTCTTACTTTTTTATTACGTATATTCTTTAGTTTAATATTGTTCTTTTTTGTTCTTGTTCTTCTCTAGCATTTTAAATATATATGTGAAGAACTCGGTTTGACACACTACACTACACAGATGTTTCGTGTTAATATATATATTGGTTGCGGGCTTCTGCGTGCACGGTCTGAGACAAATGGGAACAGCGTAGCACAGTCGGGCACAGGCGGCGTAGGCCTGTAGCTTTATCACATTATTAACAATGAGAATATATAGATTTTTTTTTTAGTTTTTTTTCTTTCTTCTTACGACGGGTCACCAGTTCCTCTCTGCTGCTGCTCTTCTTCACAATATATTGCACGTAGGAGTCGACTCGTCGCTTCGTGGGCGCCGTCGCCCTCCGCCCGCGCCGCTCTCTCCCGCCCGCCGCCCATGCCTCCCTCCCTCCCTCTGCTCGCGCTCGACATTCCATCACACCCGATGTTGTAGCGCACACACCAGCGGCGGGAGGAGGAGGAGGAGGAGGCGGAGGAGGGCGGGGAGGGGAAGGGAGGAGGGAAGGAGAGGAGGGCGATCCACCTGGGGAGGCCCGGGGTAGATGGGACCCTCTGCCCTCGCCTCCCCCGCCCCTGTCCCACTCCTCCAGCTCTCGTAGTGGCGTCGCAGGGGGGGAGGAAGAGAACGTGGCCCTCCGTCGAGAGGGTCTCGGGGCGAGTAGTACGTCGAGGACGAGGTTGGAGGAGGGGGACGTCCTCCGCCTTCCGAAGAGGAGGAGGAGGAGGGTGGGGAGGCCGGCCTCTGGGGCTTCTCCGCCCGCCAGTAGGCAACCAGCCTCCCGAGGACGGGGCTCGGGCGGCGGGGCGGCGATGGCGGTCGCGGCGGCGGCGGCGGCGGGCAGGTTCCCACGGCCGCCTCGTCCCTCCCTCCCCGTGCCGACATCACAGACTGTAACATGATGGAGGATGGCCGCCGTCACACTCGCGGGGCCGCACAGTTCCAGCGGACACACACACACGCACACACATTGTATAATAGAATATTCCAAAGGTATTGCACAGGGCGAGCGAGCTGGACCGTCCCTGCCGCCCTCACTTCACGGCACTCTGCTGCCTCACGGCGCTGTACAACACCACACTCACGCATGGCACAGGTCACCATGCACGAGCATGGTAAAGGGCACCATGCAGCCGCATGGCACATATCACCATGCACATGCATGGCACGGGTCACTAAGCTAGGTAGATATCACAAGGATTACCGTCTGCTGGAGGCGGAGTGGAGGAGGTACTCCATGACGTCAGGCTTGCCACGCCAGCACGCCAGGTGGAGGGGCGAGAACCCGTCGCGGTTGGTGAGGTGCAGGGACGCGCCGTGCGCCACCAGCACCTTGATCACCTCCAGGTTGCCGTCCATACACGACTGCGTGAGCGCCGTCTGCCCGTCCGCCGTGAAGCCGTTGATCTGCACCAGCTGCGAGTACCGCGTCAGGATGCGCTTCAGCTCCCGCGGGTTGCCGTCCAGCACCGCCCGCACGAACTCGGCCTGGCACCCGAACTGCTCCACGTCGCCGTAGCCGGGCGGCGCGGGCGTGAACTGGAAGCCGAAGTCGGCGAGCCGGGCGCTGGTAACCCGGGGCTGGCGGGGCAGCTGTAGGCTGGAGAGGCGCCGCCCGTGCTGCCTGTGCTGCTGTTGCTGGTGGTGCTGGTGGTGCTGTAGCGGGCTGTGCGCGAGTAGGCGGGCGAGTAGAGGCGCTGGTCATCGTAGGGATCCGTGAGGGGCAGCGCGGGGGAGGGAGGCTGCGGCGAAGACTCTCCCGCGGACATGACGGAGTCGGGGGAGGACGGGGCGTCGTCCGAACACACCGAACTTGCGCGTTCGACCTTCATGGCGAGAGCGGGAGTGCGAGCGGCTTCGTCAGGACACCTTCCGGAGACTCGAGGCGAGGAGGGGCGCGGGGGGAGAGGGGGCTCGGCTGTGGTCCCCGGGTTCTCAGACGCGGAACATGTGACCTTAGGAGGAGCGCGGGGTCGAGTGCTCGCGGCGGGGGCTGGGGACTGACTGAGCGGGAGACGCAGTGTTGGTGCGGCGGCGGCGGCGGTCTGGCGGCGCTGCTGCGCCCTGGCGGCCGACCCGGACACCACCACGTGGGAAAAACGGACGGCAGCGTGAGAACGGTGTCAGAGCCGACACCCCCTCGCGACCCTGAGGTGCCCGGCCACCATAGCGTCGTCACTCGCCGCACTCGCGCCGCAACCTCCTCGCAGGCGACGTCGCCGCGCCGCCGCGCACACTTTCTAACGACACGCCGCCCGCGCTGGCTCTTGCAGGCCGCCCGCTGCCTTCGGCGCAGGAAGATGCGAATTGATGAATCACAAGAACTAAACAGATCGACACAAGACCAGAATATGACAAAAGTAAACATAAACGCAAAATAAGTGAAACGTTTTTTTTTTTTTTTTTTTTTTTTTTTTTTAATCGTTACAGCCCCCCCCCCCTCTCTCGCTATCAGTGTATTATGTGTGTGTGTTGTGTGTGTATCCTATCCCCTCCCCTTCTCCCATCGTTTCCACCCCTCGCTCTCTTTCTCCCCCAGTCGCAAGCAAGCGACTGGGGGCGCTGGGCGTTCGTTTTCGTTTCCCTCCTAAAACACCACGAAAATGCATGTCACTAAACTCTATTGTGGTTTCACGGGATCAGACTCCGCTCCACAAACACCTGTTATCTGCGCTCCGACTCGGCCATTCCATCTTACTTTTGCTTTTACGTTATTTAAAGTTGTCGTTAATGTTATCAGTGTCATCATTATTGGTGCTATCATTGTTATGGTTGTTGTTATTATCATTATTATTACTATATTATTTATCATTATTTTATCTTCATTATTATTATCATATTTTACATCTTATTATTATTGTTTTATAATAATTATTATTATTATAACAATAATGATATTAATAATGATGATGATAGTTATCATTATTATCCTTAGTAGTAGTAGTATTCCTATAGCTATTATCATTATTTTCATAACTACTAATATAATTATCATTATCATTAATACTGTTACCATTATCATTACTATCATTTCTATCATTATTATTACTATCATTATCAATATCATTTTCAGCATAAACATTACTATCATTATAATCATTATCATTATTATCATCATTTCCATCACTTTTATTATAATAATCATTGTTTTTTACTGTTATCATTATCACTACTGTTATTATCACTAGTATCATTATTGTCATTTTTATAATCATTTCTATTATCACTGGTGTTGCTGATAATGGTAATTACTTATCATTATCATTGACATTGTTATCAATATCATTATTATTTTTTCCATTATTCTTGTTATTTGTGTTATTATAGTCATTATCATTATCATCATTATCATAAATCATTATCACATTAATCATAATTAGTAGTTAGTAGAGTAGCAGTTATATTATGTAGACTAATATTATTTTCAATACTATTACTACTATTATCACCATTATTGTTATAAGGCAGACAGGCAAAGACGGCAGAGACAGAGACAGAAAGGCAGATAGACAAAGACAGACAGACAGAGAACTGACACATATGAGACCCGTTCTAGGAGAGTTGGGGGGGGGGGGCATGCTAACCTTGGTGGTTCCGGTGATCTCTGCGGACCAATCAAAATGCCTCTACGATCGGATGCCTGCAAATGTGCTAGTTGAAATCAGCGCGCTTGTTCCGATTAGGGAGTATGGGGGAGGAGGGGGGGGAGGGAAGATGGTGAGGAAGGAAGGGAGGAAGAGAAAGAGAGGGGAGGGATTGAGGAGGAAGAGAGGGAGGGGGAGTGGAGAGAGAGGGGGCGGGAGAGGAGAGAGAGAGAGAGGCGGGGCGAGGAGAATGAGAGGAGAGAGAGAGAAAGAGGGCGGGGCGAGGAGAATGAGAGGAGAGAGAAGAAAGAGAGAGAGAGAGAGAGAGAGAGAGAGAGAGAGAGAGAGAGAGAGAGAGAGAGAGAGAGAGAGAGAGAGAGAGAGAGAGAGAAGATTCTCAACAGTCCAGATATTTTGAAAAAAAAAAAAAACATAAAACTGAAACGCTCACAATAAACAACAGAAGCCGTAGATAATACAATTAAAATCGACAAAGAATGACAAACAACAACAAGAACAAACAGAAGCCAGCGAAGCAATGACGTCAAACATATCAAAGAGGTGAATCCGGCTTAAAAATATTCAGCAGCAGAAAAAGAAGAGAAAAAAATAACAAAAAAAATATAAAAATGTAGCCTTCGTCTGCGATAACAGGAGTCCTTCACCCCCCCCCCTCGTCCCTCCCTTAGGCTCCTCCCCGTCCTTACTTCTTGATGAAAAAAAAATATAAAAAAGAACTAGGGCAAGATGAGAGGAGGAGAGGAGAGGGGAGAGGGCGGGTTCTCTGCAGAGGTAAGATAATTTCGTCCTTAATCTAGTTTTATATAAGACTGAGGATTCTACTGAGGATTTAGCGTATGAGTAAAAATATGAACTATAAACCTCCGTTGATTTGTATCGTGGATATAAATTGAAAGAAGATTGTTCTATTTAAGACAGAACGAGCCAGGCGAGGTGGCGGGTGTGAAAACGAAGCTTGGTAATTTAAATACCGGGGTTGGATACCATATACTATATATAGAACAGAGAGTGCGATACAGAATGTGTGAAAAAGTGAGCAACGCGATACCAGGGGATCAGGGGCCATAGCAGTTGAGACGTTGTTGAGCAGGTGTCAGGCCAGAAATTGGCATAGCTCTGCCCTCCCCCTCTCTCTCTCTTTCTCTTTCTGTATCTATTTATCTATCTACATCTATATATATTTATATAAACAAACACACTTACATATGTGTGTGTGTGTGTGTCTGTGAAATATGTAAGCGGACATGCATGCATATACATATTTATGTACATTTACGTATACATTATACACATACTTATACGTGCATGTATGTGCAGTGTATGTACTTATGTAAGAATGTATTTATATTGCAACTTGAGAGGTCGAAAATCTTCAAGAAACGGTCTTGCAGAAATCATATTTAGAGTTACCCGCTCAGGATACATGTCTGGAGGTTTCATAACTTACTAAATTATCCTACCGTTCAAACCTGTTTTTATGCCCATCGCCATCCTTCCCATTCTAAAAAAGGAGAAGCTGAAAGGCAGAGAAAAAATCAAGGTTACCAGAAGACCGCCTTGCCTCCCGTCCTCGAGCGCCGAAAAGTTTGTAAACAAATCCGGAGCAATCCACCTGCAGACGCCCGGGTTTACGCGAACGCCACCTGATGATTGCTTGTCTTTCGAGCGGTTATTACAAGCTGACTTATCAACGCTGCCAGATTTAATGGTCAGACCAAACACAGATCAAATTGTTGTTCTGCCTAGGTCGCGTAATTGGCACGGTCGCCGGGATAACTACATCGCCGTAGTTAGTAGTTATGGCCGGACGATGACTGTTATTGGTCCTTACGAGAACGCCCGCGGTCATCATGGTAGACGATGAAGCACTCTCTCTCTCTCTCTCTCTCTCTCTCTCTCTCTCATCTCTCTCTCTCTCTCTCTCTCTCTCTCTCTCCTCTCTCTCTCTCTCTCTCTCTCTCTCTCTCTTCTCTCTCTCTCTCTCTCTCTCTCTCTCTCTCTCTCTCTCTCTCTCTCTCTCTCTATCTTTTCTTATGTGATGTAGCGA